TTCCCACCTGGCACCTCGGGGCAAGCCGCCCCACCCAGAGCTGTAAGTCCTGCGACGCCACCAACACACCCGTGCAGGGTTGTGAAGACCTGGTCATCAGACTCCAGGACAAACCATCCCCAGCCACCCCTGCGCCCGAGCAGGAGTGTGTGGAAGGGACGTGCCGGCCCTGCTGGGCTGAGTGGGGGCGGGGGACCCAGCTAACCCATGTGATTCCCCAGAGTCCCAGGAATGCCGTGCTTCTCAGGAGGTGTCCCTGGTGGTCCCCAGGGTGTCCCTCCACTTCTGGGCTTTGCCACTCATGGCCACCACTGAAGACAGAACAGCAGGGTGCTCAGCACCCCAAGGCGCCTGCACCCACACCCAGCTCCACACGCCAGCCTGGGGCCCCCACCCCGCTGGGAAGAGGCAAGGTCTAAAACAGCCAAGGGGCAATCCGCCCCAGGTGACACAACCAAGGCCTCTCCGGAAGGGATGTGAACATAGTAAGGCCCCGTCAGGGCACCCCCTGCTCCCCACCCTGCCCCAGGTCCCCCCAGCACCTCTCCCTCCTGCCTCAGGGCCTCAGCATGCACTGCTCCCAGCCTGTGGTGCATGGGGACAGAATCCTGAGGGCCTGGCCCTGTCCGCAGGGAGCCCACTGCACCAGCACCCCGTGCCCCTCTTCCCTTGGGGCCCCCGACGTCCCAGTGGGGACTTTACTGCCGCTGGCTTCAGGGACTGACAAAACAAAGCTGGGGTGAAAAGCTGGCCCCAGGGGAGCTGTTCTGCGGGAAGCAGGCCAGACACCTCCTAGGCAACAAGGTGGCCGGGCCTCAAGACCCACTGCCACCGCCTCCAGGGAGGCTTCCCGGCTTAGAGCTCAGCTCCCACTGGCTCTAAGGGTCTGGCAATCTTCGGGGTACGGGACCTGGATCCTAGGACCAGGGAGACTTTTCCCCACATGCTCATGCTGTGCCCTGTCTGAGCTCCTGAATAGAGGGGGCGTTCTGCTCCATTGGAGGGACCCCAGCTGACAGACCCCCAAGACCCTGCCTCGGGCTGGATCTGGTGTGTGTGCCAGGCCTGGGTGGGGGAAGAGGGGTCCCTGCTGAGACAGCTGGACCCCACTCTGGCTAAGCGCCAAGGGGGCAGCTGGCTCCCAGCTCCACGTCTGGCCCCACCCTGCCCGGGGGCAGCACAGGCCCAGCCCGAGCNCCCTGTGCACCTGGGCAGGGGCCCAGCACAGCGGTGGCTCCGGCCGGAAAAACGGAGCCTGGCTCCCCCCCACCCAGCCTCGGCATGGGGACATGGGAACTTGGGGACAGGGGCCTGAGGGGCCGCCCTCACCAGCCTCTGCTGCTCCAGCAGGTAGTTGGCCTCCTCTCGCTCCCGGCGGTACTGGTCCTCCAGCTCCTGCAGCCTGCAAGAGAGGGAGCGGGTGAGGCCGCTGGGCTGGGCACAGGGTGGATACGATGCAAGGGTGGGGGACACCGCGGGGGCGGTGACGGGGCGCAACAGTGCGTGACACCGTGGGGCGGTGACGCTGTAGGTGGACGCGCCGCAGGGGTGCAGGCGGCCCCCACTGCCAGTCTCACCTCTGCTCCATCTCCTGCTTCATGTCGATGCCCTGTTTCTCCAGCAGCTCACGCTGGGCGAAGGCCCAGTCCACAGGCTCCGAGGGCGTCTCGGCGCAGGGTGTGCGCTCGCGCTCCTGCCGGGCCTGCTCGGGGTGGTTGAACCGGAACACGTGGCTCTTTCCCATGATGATGCGGTTCCCTGGGGGGTGGAGGCCAGACTTGGGGGGCTGCAGCCTCAAGGCAGCCTCAAGGGGTGCGGAGGGGAAAAGGAGAGAACAGGCCCCTCCTCGAACTGGGCTCCCGCTGTCGCCCACCCCAGGAGCCGCCCCACACGGTCCCCCATGGCTCCCCGCCCCTCACCCTCTCCCAGCAGGCCGCCTGTCCCTTGGCCAGGACCTGAACTGGCCTCGCTCTCCCCAAATCCGCCCCTCAGCCCCTCCCCTTTCAGCAGCTGGTGATGTTCGCAAAGCACCATCCTCTCCCGGTTGTGGCCCTGCCACCAGCACAGCAGGGGAGAAGGAGCAGGAACAGGGTGTGTGTGCCCCCT